GGAAGAGGAGGACGACAGTAGAAATCGACAAGGCAGGCGTTTGCCTTCCCAGCCAGGCGCGCTCACTCGTAAGTCGTCTCCCGGAAAATAAAGAAACCTCACACAACAGCCCACACCTTCTTCCCCAACTATTGTTTCCTGCGAGATCCCAAAGTTTCCTTTTAGCTGTGTCCCCCTCGCCAAGTTTCCCGGGCGCAGGACGGCGGGTCCGGGGCAAGCTGCTGGCGCTGCCCGGCCCAGCCGGCCTGTTTGGTGGAGGGAGGGGGGGGTGGCACCCCAGGGCAACAGAGGTACTGGGGGACTGTATCCGTGGACGCGATGGCCTGAGCCCTGCTACGAGAGGGGAGGAAGAAGCACAGTAGACAGAAGGGAGAAGCAGAGCCGAGCCAGCCAGACCAAGCCCATGCCGTGGAGGGCTGTTGGTTGTTGTTGTTATTGTTGTCGTGTGTGTCTGCGTGTGTTTTTTTCTCCAGCCGCTGAGCTCTGCCTACGATTTCCAACTTTCGGCTTCTAATCCCCACCCCACCCAGGAACGAGCGACAGAAAAACAACACTTGTCTGCCCGAGAAGGCTCCGGGGTTGGGGGGGGGGGGGTAGAAAAAGGAAGAAAGGCGACCTCGAAGAGATGAGCTCTCGGCTCAGTTGTCAGCAAACAACACTCCCCCGCTTGTCCATCCGGCGGTCCTCCCAGCCTCCCGGAGACGGACAGACGGACGCACCGACAGGCCCCCCTCGCCATCCACCCCCCGCCCCCGCTCGTCTTTGTTACATCTTTAGCAGCTTTGTGCGTGCGTGTCCTTTCTCCGGTGTCATCGGCTTTACTGCCGAGGGCTGGATGTGTGTTGGGGGAAGGGGGGCGCGGGCCGAGCAGGCGACAGGGGTCGCCCAAGTGGTTGAGGAAGAAAGAGCCGGGCGCCGAGGAGGAGCGGGGGCCCCTAAACTTACTTTTGTTTTCTTTCTCGATCTGCTCCAGGTAGCTGGCGGCCTCGAGCAGAATCTGCACGTTCTGCAGAAAAGTGTTGATGTGCTTCTCCATCGAGTTCTCGCTGGTGTTGAAAATGTCCGAGAAGGGGCACCTGAGCTTGGCCCCCGCGGGCTCCTCGGGCTGGGCCGGGGGCTGGGGCGCGGCCACCGCCGGGGGCGCGGCGGGGGCCAGCCCCGCGCCCTCACAGCGCGCTTCCTTGCGCGGCCGCCCGCGTTTGCCCATGGAGGAACCGGGGTCCGCCGAGCTCGTCCTCTTTTGGGGCTGCGCGGCCCCGCCGAGCTCCGGTCCCTGGAGAAGACCCGGCTGGCCGGAGCGGAGGAGGCGCCGAGGCGAGGAGGCGACCTGACTTCCCGAGCCTCGCTGCGTGCAGTTGTGTGTGTGAGTGTGTGTGAGTGTGTGTCTGTCTCGCAGTGGGTCTGTGTGTATGGGAGATTGAATGAACCTACAGGACAGACGGAGGCGCTCTGGCGCCTGGGTCCTAGTGCGAGCCTGTCACCATCGGACCGGTCAAAATAAAAGGTGGAGAAAAGCGAGACAGGGACGCCCTCTGCCCGTCCCTGCACCCCTCCCCGCCTCTCCCCAAATCTTACCTCAGAGCAGAGCACTGTATTTTAACACAAATGGAAAAAATACTCGATGCCTCCGAGTGCACCTGCAGGAAAACAAACTAGTGAGCTATTTTTTTTCTTCACATAAAAATAATACCTGGTAAAGGGTCCAGGACAATGCCTCGCACATAGTGAGTGGATCCCCAATAAATGGCAGCTGGTATGACTTTTTTAAAAAATAAAAGCCCAATCCAAAAAACCCATCATATGTAGCCTGGAGTTTCCTCCCCCCAGTTCACACACCCCTACACACAGACAGGCATAGGCATGTGCCTTCACGGGGTCAAATGAAATCCCCAAGCCACCAAATCCCAGTTACAAATTTACTCAACTCGTTCTTTCTCCCTTCAAATGCAAAGCTATTTTCCAGGAAGGGGAGGAGATGTAAGCACCTCTCTCCACACTCCTCTTCCCGGCCTTGGTCCAGCTGTGCAAAGCTCACACTAGGGTGCCTCCACACCTGGCGCCCTTTTATTTGACAGAGCCGCAGAAAAATGGCAGCCCAGGACCGACCCCCACCCCACCCCAGCTGAACTCCACCTTTTGGCTCTGAAGACTGAAGTCGAAGTCGAAGATGTTGTCTTTGCTGCTGCTGCTGCTGCTGCTGTCACCCACCCACTCAGGGTCTGCCGGAACCATGGATGCTTTCCAGGCCTGGGAGGTACAGTGGGAGTCAGAGGGATAGTTGAAGGCCATTGGGGAGTGTCACAGAGAAGAGTTCAAGTCCAGCTCTGAAGCACGTAGACTGTGTGAGTTTGGGCAAGTCCCCCAACCTCTCTTGGCCTGTTCCCCATCCATGAAACTCCAATAAGATTCTTGTGCTGATTAAATCATATCTGCACTTAGCACACTACCTGGCCCCTAGTAAGATCTTTTTCTTTTAATCCAGACCCAGATGAGAACCTGGGTCCCCTACTTGTATCTAAGGGGTGGAGGGAACAAGCTACAGGAAACAAGACTGTTCTGCACTTTGTTGGAAAACATCTCTGCAACAAACCCATCCAAATATTGTCACCTTGCAAAGCCAACTGGAAATCCCCCCCCCTCCAGTCCCCCCACCCGCTGCCAGGGAACCACTTAGGCAGAAGACACATGGAATACTGCCCCCTGCAGTTGAGCAACCCAGCCACCCTAAAACTCAGAGTGGCCTCACACACATTTGTCCAGAAGACTCTTACTGGAAATGGAAACTTTTTTTAAAAAAGGAAAGTACATTTCTTTGTAAAACATTCACTAAAGTCTTGTGTACTTTTAGAATATAATAACCTGCTGCTGAGATGACGGCACCAATCAGTGGCATTTTAATTTTTTCTAACGTTGATTCATTTTTGAGAGAGACAGAGCACGAGTGGGGGAGGGGCATGGAGAGAGAGGGAGACACAGGATCTGAAGCAGGCTCCAGGCTCTGAGCTGTCAGCACAGACCCTGACGGGCGCTCGAACCCACAAACCGCAGATTATGACTTGAGCTGAAGTGGGACGTTTAACTGACCGAGCCACCCAGGCGCCCCGGTAATTGGCATTTTAAAGCAAATGTATTCACATTTCCAATTCACATTTGGATACAATCATACTACACATACTGTCCGTTCATTTTTCATCCTGTGACAAATTTTGCATGATTGGTCTTTGCATCCTTTAGCTAGGGGAGAGTAGAAGCTCCTAGGAGCTGTGAAATAAAAGTTCACCTTCCATGATCAGACTGACTACTGACTTTTTGTTCCTGCTGGGACCACAACCTGAGTCGCTCATGTTTAAAAGTCCCTAAGTGTCTGAGGACTTTAGGAAGGTATATTTTCAAACAGCTTTTATCTAATGCCATTTTGCAAAACCTGGCATGTGTGTAAGACAGCCCCGATCTCCCTTGCCCCAGTTGAAAGATGATAGTGAGACAATGAACCAGCTAAGCCCCAAGAAAACCTCAGTCTCTAATTCCCCAGTGGATGCCAAATGCGTACATATGCAGTGCTGTGACCTACATGTCTGTCTACCCACACCCACCGAGGTAGGCACACCCCACACATGAGTGCCTGGGCGGGGGTAGGGTGTTTTGTAATTATTTATTTATCCCTGTTTCATCTCTCATAGGTCTGCGAGCTTCAGAAAGCCCAGTGGGAATCTTCAAGCTGGGCCACGGATCTGACCAAAGCCAAAATAAACAATGGCTTGAAGAAAATCTACAAAAAAGTGCTGATTTGCACTATTCCCACAGTCCGCCACAGCCCCCACCATCATTCCCATGGAAAACACCACTGCTGGTGCCAAATCAAGTTTCCCCCCCTTCATAGGGGCATTGTTTTTTGTTATTATGTGAGTTCTTAGCATCAGACAATGGCACCACAAGAGACACAGTGGAGGCAGGAGAAATGCCTTTTTGTTTCGCAAAGTCTGTGCTATTGTGCCCCAGACTCTAGTCCACATATAGTACAGTTGCATGTGTGCATTTTGGTAACATGTGTGTGGAATGATGAATGTGCCAACCTAAAGCTCCAAGCCCCTTCCTTATTTTTTCCCCCGAGCCCATCAAGTGTTAAATTGAGAGCATCATACTGCTCTCTCTCTCCTCCCACACTATCCCCCAATTCACAGACTCCTCTAATAACATTGGCCCCCACAGAAAGAGTGGTGTTTCAGGGGTTATATCACAGGACAGGCATCCAGGATGCTGGGTTACAAGCTCAGCTCCATTCCCGATTAGCTTTGCTTCCCAGGAGGAGCTATTCAAGCCCTTTGCACCTCACTTTCTCCGGGGCTTTGACTCCATAAATAAACGGCTTCTTTGGAAACTTGCTGGCAATTTTTGCAGAGAACAGGTAGTGGATGAGAAGGCAGCTGGCCTGATAAAAACATGTGAACCCTTTGAAAGAAAAGTAGTGACTTTTTGCAGTGCCCAGTGAGGCCAGCCAAGATGTTCCCAAAGGCCCAAGATACCTTGGATGCCTATTCAGTCAGGGTCTTGTTTCCCCAAATTTCTGTTTCTTTGTTTGGCCTATTTGCCTGTTGGTAATATTTTTCTGTCAACCTTGTTTGCATTTTGAAGCCAGATCACTCTCTCATGTATTTGCCCCCTTCCCCCCCCCCCCCCCCCCGCCAGACATTCTATTCTCACATCAAAGGAGTTTGTTTTGCTTGTTAATTATGTCTTCAGGTACACAGAGGCCGGTTAATTACTAAGACCCAAGGAAAGTGCCCCCCCCCCCCAGCTCCCCATTCTACATGTGGATGGGATGTCCTTTCCTGTCCTGGGCCATTTTGGTTCTCCTAGGTTCCTTAGCCCTGCTCTTCTTCTTTATCCATCCTTCCCTCCCTAGACCTTTCTGCCTAAGTCCACTCCTCCACCATCTAGCTTTCCCTTGGACCTTGCCAGCATGGCCAGATCAGCTTCTTCCCTGTTCTTTGACCTGTGGTCTTTGTACTTAGGCTTGGTAAACACCATCAAGAGATCTCCTGTCCCCAATATTGTCACTCGAGTCCTAATTCCCCAGAGCTTTCCTAGCCAAGTTTTTCCTGAGCACCTTTCCCTTTGGAAAGGGATTGTCCAGCAAAGACCTGAGGAGTTGACTTCTTCTTTCCTTGGGAGCCCTCACCTACTAGGAGGTGATGAAGGGAGATGAAGGGAGGAGCTTCATCTACTAGGAGGGAGAACTGGCTTCAAGGAAAGCCCAGGAGTAGAGGTTTACGGACTGGTTAGATGCAAGCAGAATGACAGGAACAAGGAGAACTGTGCGACTACCTCTCCCACTGGCTCCTGGAACAGCCTTAAAAGTGCTGACCAGGCCTCCATCAACCACTTCCCATACCCCCACCCCCACCCACACATTCACCAGTGGGTGTAGACAAGGACAGAGGATAAATAGCCTCCACCCTACATTGGAGCTCACCCGGGTGTCACCTGCTCCTGGGGCATTATCTCTGCTCTTCTGGACTCTGCCCTCCCTTCTCCTGGACCTCCAAGCTGCCAGGCTCTTCCTGTCTCAACCAACTCCTGGGCTTCTCCTATGCAACGCCCAGTACTTACAGGGTTCATTAGATTATGAGCTCATTAAGGGCACGGAGCGTGCCTTGCTCCCCCTGGCATCCCCAGCCCGTGGCACCTAGCACAGCACATACACGGCACATGACAGGGACTTAAGGCATGAGGGTCAAAGTCATGAATGCTCCTTCCTGCCCGGCTGGAACCTTGGTGCTGGCCCTTCATGGCTTCCTTGCTCCAGCATGGCAAGAAGACGCATTTGACACTGTCTGCAAAACTATTCCTGAGTCACTCGTATTAAAGTTTAAATATCAAAATACTGTCTGTCAAGAAGCCAGGAACCCATTGAGCCAGATGGTTGAGGTTCCCTTCCCCAAAAGTGCAGAGGTTCAATCACCCTTTCCCCTGTCCTTACTGCTCTATATCTCTTGTGACAAGATGGGTCTTCTCTGTAATAAGATGCTTCTGATGGAAGCATTACCAGATGATGAAAGCAATGGACTGAGACCAAAGTGGGAGTCATATGGAGCTTTTTTTTTTTTTTTCATTGTATTCTCATTGTAGGGTTTCTACTAGCTGAGAGCAGTCCTTCCGGCCCCTATTTTCTTCAACATCCCCATATTTTAAAAAATGCATTCAGGG